ATATTCAGAGCAAAGAGGGATGGAGCCATCACAAGACAGATGCAAAATCCAGGGGAAGCTTTAGCATTGGGTAGCTGCTTTCTGAGCAGGTGTGAATGGTGATGTTTCTTCAGAACCTGATAAAGAATATGGTGGGTTTGGGGTTTGTTCAGCCCTTGGGAATGGTCAGAGGCACCTCCTTGGGACAGGAGCAACCCACTGCAGAGCCTTCCAGAGGCACAGGTGATCAGGGTTTTTCAATTAAAGCAGGGGCATGACAGTATTTCTCTTCCTTCTTATTGCCTGAACCTGGAAAGTTCAGCCCAACATGGACACATAGCATGGAAATTTTTAACCTAAGTAGTTTCAACAAAGTTTAAAAAAAAAAAAAAAAGAAAGAAAGAAAGAAAGAAAAGGCTGTTTATAACTAAGGGTAGCCTTCTATGCCCTGGGTGGGATTTCCTGTGTCATGGGGAGAGCTCTCCTGCTCAGGGGACCTGGTCTAGGCGAATACAATAAAATCTCAGTTGGGCAGTGACCTGGCTTGCCTGACTCCTGCCTGCTGTGGGCTTTGCCCTCTGTCAGTGGTGGCTTCTTGCAGCTGGGCCAGGCACTCCCCATGCCCGGGACAGTGCAGCCATTTGACATGTGCCCCTATGACTGCTCACTGCGATGGCCGTGCCACCATGGCACTGTGCTGGCTCACGGTACAAGAGGAAGCTCAGCATGTCCCCAGGAGCACTGCAGTCAGCTCCTGCAAGCCACTGGCCACCCAGATCCACCCACAAAGACAGGTCGGGACCTTTTGTGTCTTAAGCCTTGCACTCACCGCTGTGGTCCTGCCCTTTGCAGCTGTGCTCGTGTTGAGGGGTCCCAGAGTCCGAGAGAGACAAGGCTGGGCTGCGAGCCTCCGCATCTGCCAGCAGGTTGAAATCCATGAGGCAGGGATGGGTGGTGGAGGAGAAGGAATCTGAAAAAGCAGCAGGCACAGGGTGATTAAGGAGATGAATCTGTGTGTGTGACCTCTCCCCACCCCCTTTGGGGAGGGACATGCCAACCCTTGAGGAAAGGTCTAGGAAAAGCAGAGGATCCCTGTGTGATCCTTGGACCCCTTTGAGTTTCTTGGCTGGAAAATGGACATGCCAGGCTTTCTGCTGAGCTCCCCTATAAATCAAAGATCATCTAGTGACACTTCTATTTGCAGCCTTCAGAGAAAGAGCCTCCAATTTATAGGTGACATTCAGACTGAAATAGCAACGCCAGGAGCATGCTGTGTAACAGAGATCTGAGGAAGTGGTTCTGGGCCAGTCAAGGGCTGTTAGCACCTTCCCAAGACATCCCGCCTCTCCCATCCTCCCTGCCCAGCTTTCCTCCTCTCTCTCTCGCTTCTCCACAAACCAGTCAAGCCCAAATAAAGCGTAATGCAGGAAAGGCAGTGCAGAGACGGTTAATGCAGATGTACATGCATACATCCCGAAAGAAAAGCACTCCTGTCTGTGCATGGCACTGATAGAAAGGCATGTCTTCCTCCACAGCCACTGCTGCAAGCGCGGACGTGGGGCAGAGCAGCGCACAGGGACTCACTCCTTCAGGGTACACAAGGACTCTGGAGCCTGAATTAACATGGGAATCGCATTACACACCCTTGGGTGCCTGGGGACAAGTGCACCCAGCTGCAGCAGCAGCTCACTTCCAGCCTTAGGCCATCCTGGTTGAAGGCTGCCTGCGTCCCCTCAAGCAACTCTTCTGTGCCAGTGGGCCACCTCCCCTGGCTGGGAAGCTGGTGGTGCTGCTCCCCACATCTGCAGACACCACTGGGACTCCTTGACCACCTTTTCCCACACTTCTTTGTCCCAGGATCAATTATTCTCCTCATGTTCTTACTGAGGGCCATTGCACCCTCCACTTGTATTGCCCAGAAGAGCCCAGCTGAAAGCACTGTTCTGTTCTGGATTATGTTGAAGCTCATGAAGAGGCAACTGTGAAGCAGTAGGTGCTACAAGCCCAGCCTCATCACCTTAAGCTGGCCCTGTGTTAGCTCTTAAATCTAAGTTTCAGCATACATGCAGCATTATGTATTGTCACAGGTGCAGGTGTAATGGTTTCTGAAAGCTGGATTGCTTTGAGGGAACCACAGCAGCTACTGAAACTCCAGTCACCCCAGCCAGTATGTCCTCTGCCCAGTTAGGGAGCCTGTCACTCTACAACATAGCAGCAGCTGATGCACTTGGACCTCTGGGTTTAGAGGAACCTGGCGTTTGGCATTTCCAAACTGCAGGTAGGAGTCAGTTGTGAAGACTGGATTCTAGCTCGTGAAGGATTGCCCGGCCCCTCAAACCCGTGTGTGTTGGGGACAGAGCCTGCAGAAGGCAGTATTTCGTCTGGACTGCGCTAGCATTTAGACATGTAAACAAGAGATTAATCACATAGCTGTTGCACCTCCTTTGGAGGTGGATGACAGTGACTAAGAATGTATTTTCAGAGCTGTCTAAAACCTCCTGTCAATTTGAACAGGGCTGCCGCTGGGGCCCTTGGCAAGGCCAGCCCCCATACCTGCAGCATGCTTCCCAGGCCGCGGTGAGAGGGCAGGGAGCCATTTCTAATGGTTATCCACCCGACTTCTGCAGCAGATCTCACTCACAAAACCCCCTGAAGCTTTCCTCATTCTCTAGTCCTCTTTCAGCTCTCTCCTTCCCTTAACCTCCATCCTCAGTCTTTCCTGGGTGCTGATGAATCTGTCTGAACACCAGCTCAATGGGTGCTCTCGAAAAACAGCATCTAATGAAGGAACCTGGTGCCAGTGTCCCAGACCTTTGTCTCACTCCAGCATCTCCTCTCCAGTGGGAGAGAAGTGGCAGGTGCTCCATCTTTGCTGTGAGGCTGGTTTCCATTTCCACCCTGTGGCGAGCCTGACCTTTGATGTCCGTGAGCTCCTGGCACAGCCCTGTTGCTTTTTGCCGTGTGTACGTACACGAAGTGATGTGACAGGGGCTGTGTTTTCTTTAATACCTTTGCATGGAGTAGGGGGAGTCCATCTGCTGCTGATATTGCTGTGGCTTTTAGCATTACTCTTGGAATTATGCAGAAACGCACAGTGAATTAATTCCATGGATTAAGTCTTGATTAAGATGTGTGTCACTTTGCTGTCTCAGAATTTATTAAGAGCCCTTCTTGAGGCGGCGGCAGATGGAATTTCTGCCCAATGTTTGTAGATGATAATTTCCCCTCTTCTACAGCCATTTGCATATGATTGCATCTGTCAAGCACAATTTCCTCTCTTCTAGGGCTTGACTCTGTACTGGACCAGATTTAAGGAGGAATTCAGACTCCTGCCTTGCTGTAACTGAGGGACAGTGTCCTCCTGCACAGGGTCCTGTTTGCTTTGAGACTCTTTTTGCACATCTCGCATTGCTTTCATCTGTGCAAACTAGAGCGGAGATGGGAAAACCGGGGGGGAGTATTTTATAGCTGATTCCATAGGTAAATGACAACACAAGGTATGAGGCTCAGGGGAACTCAGTCCCGGTACTGAAAATTCATGCCCCATCCTGAACTGCACCAGTAAAGTGGTTATGAGACTGATCCAAGCTGCTGAGCACAACATATAGTGTGCTTGGCCCACCTCAGAGATGCAGTGGGCACCTAGGTTAAAACTGTTTTTAAAGTGTGGCCTGTATTCAAGTTGAAACTGGGACTTGCATCTCAGAACAAGTTTGCTTTTTAACTGAATTTAAAACTAGGAGGATTTCAGGGAGGAGATTTTGTATGTGTATATGTAATAACATATCTATTACATAATGGCATCAAGGAAGACCTTCTCAACTCGCTGTGAGCAGGTCACAGAAAAGCAAAGGGAGAGTGGGATCCACTCAGCACAGTTATGAAGTACCACAGGAAGAGTCTGTGATGTGGACAGCACATGAGCTCTGTGCCAACATATTCCCCAAAGGCAACCCCATGCCCCTGATGCAAAAGGCTGTAGGTACTATTCTAGATTATACAGCCCTTTCAGATTTAATTAAATGAGCTTTCTTCCACATTGGCTAGACCTTGCTGTAGGCAGGGACATTAAGAAAGTCAACACTAAACCTTCATAGCATTTCTACTAAGTTGTTTGCCTGATCCCAGGGAGTTACTGAAATTGGCACCTCAAAAAAATCTTTAGACAAAATCAAATTTATAATCTCTGTTTGATTCTTCATCAGACTTTCTTTTAACACAAAAAACCCCAGTCTCTTTAGGAACAGCTCCTGTACTAGCACCATGCAGCCAGGCTTGCTCAGGTTTCAGTTTTGTAAAAGTAGCCCTGGCTCCTAGCCTGCTTCGGCACCTGTAACTCCTTCCTTCCATCAGCGTATGCAATTGCTCCCAAGATAAACGTTCCCAAATCTGTAACAAACACGCCTTTACTTCCATTCACTACCTGTGTGCATCTTCTCCCTGGCTCCTGTGCAACAGTGCTGGCAGCTGCCTCCCCAGGTCCCTACAGCTGGATGGGGAGCTGCCATCCCTGCCCCACAGCACAGTGGAGGGCAGGGGGAAGGGGAGTGGCTCCTGCTCTAGGCTTTTTCTCCTTTCAACTTCACCCCCTTTTTATTTCTGCATCAATGCCATGCTGCCCAAGCCAGGGCAGGAGGAGGAGGGCACTCCTACACAAGGAAGGCAACCTTGTTTACCCAAAAAGAGCAAGTGAGGGTCCCTGTGACCTCTCTCCTGGTTCTCAGTAACATGCTGCTCCATCACCTGGGAGCAAAGATGCCTTTGCTTGTGGTTTTTTTGGAGTGGTGGGAAGAAAACATAAAGGCTGACTGTAAGCCAAGTAAGGCTAATTACAGTGGTGGCTTTTGTGATGTGGATGTTGCCCGCTGAGAGCTGCCTTCAGATTGACAAGTGCATGCTGCTCAGCTCCCTGCACTGCCGTCTGGGAGCAGGCTACCTG